CAAGCATTGGTAATTCGTTTTCAGATCGCGCTATACTGACTGAGCCACGCTAAAGTTGCAAAATTACAACGCATTGTTTCGTTATTTTTGACCTTATGTAGCAGTAAAACATAGGGATTTTTAGTGCTGGGTACGCATTCTCTTGGGGCGATGCGGGCTTGGGAGCGCGCGGCGTTGCGTGCCCAACCCCTACCCAACCGGAATGCCTTTTAGTTGGCGCCACGGTGGCACGCACGCAAACGCAAGCCGCACGAAGTTCACACGCGCTCGCAGCGCCATAGCGTCTTGTCGTGTAAATAATATTTATGTATTTTTATAATTTGAAATGTAAAATTAAACATACATAGTGATCAGGACACTTTTTTTATCGCGTACAGTATCCTGGTATACGCAAAAAAAAGTGAAAAACACAAGGTTACTATAACGACAGTGTCGACATCTTGTGACACTTCGTGCAACCGCAGTCATGAACTTGTTCGCTTACGCGTAATGTTTTTGAGATGAAAACAAATAAAAACGTTCCTCATTTGTAATATTGCCGCTGCGCAGTCTTTGCATCAGATGTACAATGCACAATGTTTCTGCAATAACAATGTTGTGGTTGTCTGTTTCAATATAGCCGCGCTAGATGGCGCCACATATTCAGCTGGTCGGGGCTGGCATATATTTAGTTTCTATGTTCCGGGCCATTCTAGCTTTGGTAATCTGGCTGAAACCGCGTAATCGCTCGCACTTTGCCAAAGTGCGAGCCAATAAGCCAAAGTGCTCGCACTTTTCCAAATAAGCCAAAGTGCTCGCACTTTGGCTTATTTTAACTCGACGGCTAGAGTATCCGCAGTGCGGATACCGTGAGTTCTTGCGAATGTGGACCTTACAAGGCGGCCGATCCATGCTGTCCGAGATTGCGCGCCTTTGTGTCATGCTATTTGTATAGTGGCTAGCCAATGTAATATTTGCGCTTAAAACTTAATTGTCAAAGTGCTGGCTCTGGCCAGCTTCGGCTTTGCTCGCCGTGAAGGTAAAATGATGCGCCAGCATGTGCGCCGGGGCAGCTTATCTCCGCTAAGAGGCCAGTGGTGGCAGCGTTGTTTATGGCCGCGCGGACACATGGCCCCATCGCCCCAGCGATCTTGCGACGCATCTGTTTGGGGCTTCGCGCATGCGCAATACCGCCGCCCCAACGTCCTGCGTACGCAAGCCGCTTGGGCACCCAGCACTAAAACTCCCTATTCAGTCCACAATGAAGTCACAGCTGCGGAATCGCTCATACGTATGGTCGGCATAACCGAATTTACTAGCAGTGCACTTAAATAAATGTACTCGTCGTTCTTAGGTTAGCCTCGTAATTACCCGACATTTAACCACTAAGCGCAACCTGTTGTATCTCAAGCTAGAAACAGTAGTAAACGTCACAAAAGCACCAAAATTCTCATCATTTGCTAATGAGCAACCAGCTCATTAGCAAATCAACTCATTATGAGGCACGCCGTTATGGAGGTCTCCAGGAACGGCAACGACTTGCTTCTATTAGGCGGGCAACCTAAATATTAGTACGCGGCTGTCTAACCTCTACCGAGACGTGACCTTCGCGGCGGAGCTCGAACCAGCAACCTTCGGATCAGCTGCTCGTACCACCACGGCGCCTAGAACCTACACATATTTGAGCCTACACAGCAAAGCGTATTCAGCCATGGCGATCCATCCATAGCCGTGTCTATCTTTCATCACGAGAAGAATGGTGGCAATGGCCCTTTCCTGTCTTCTTGTGCGCCTCGGGGGTATACAGCGGTTACGGCGCTTGCCCGCGGTACTCGCATTTCGGTGGAGGCGAAATCCTAGAGAATCATGTACAGTGCGATGCCAGTACATGTTAAAAAGAACAGGAGGTGGTCTAAACATTGGGAGCTTTCCACTACGGCGTTCCTCATAATCATATCGCGGTTTTGGCTCGGAAAACCCCAGCCATTATTAATTTGCTTTTCCTGTCCTTCGTGAAGATATAGCATGACGTTAAGTCTTGCTAATTAACGGCATCGGGGAGTGGCTAGAATCGGTGTTTAGAGCCAAATACGATCGGAGGAAAGCGGATTGCTAATCCCAGAGACTTATTCCTAGTGATAAGGAACGGAATAGTCGTCGGGATAGCGCGTTGCGAATAAAAACGCACAGGAGTGCAAAGCGCAAACTTAGCAGGAAACCAATACCAAACATCGCGTGAACAACCACCATGGACCCGAATCGATTTTGCGCGCTTAGCGGTGTCATTTTATCTTAGGAACAGTTCCGTGCGTCCAAACAAAACTATATTTACTGTATCTAGGCCCGTGTACTCAGATTTGGGTGCACGTCAAGGAACCCCAGGTGGTCGAAATTTCCGAAGCCCTCCACTACTGCGTCTCTCATAATCATATGGTGGTTTTGGGACGTTAAACCCCACTAATCAATCAATCAATATATTCACTGTATCACAAGATTTCCGCACAACTGCAATAGTGGTACAGTATCGTGGCAACGCTGACTACTCAAGTTATCCTTCTCGAGTGCCGGGAAAGTCCAGGATTTAGGCAGTGGCGCAGCCATTTTCTGGATGAAGATACCTTCCGAATCAAAAGACACTGCGCGACTTTTTCGAGTTTGGAGTCGATGTTGCTGTTATCACTAAACGCTCAATGTCACTACGATAAAAAAAAAGCTACTGCAGGCCCTCCAACAGTCATCCGAAGTCTCATACGTGGGGCCGGTGCAATTCGTTTGCGCGAATTCGGAGCTACGATACGTTCAGACAATCGAAGAATCGTAGGTACGGTGGGACGAAACACGGTAATCAAGTCGCAGTACACGTGCTGAAGCGACAACTGTACCCACGTGATCTGCGGGACCCACCTGAGATACTGAGGCCAAGGCATTAAAGAAACAACTCGATAGGTGGCGAGGCAAAAAAGCGCTCAATTCAAGATACGTCTGTTGGAAGCATGCGTTGACAGTAAGTAGGCATTTCCAATTGTCATCTCCCTAAAAATCAGCACGAAGTAGTGGCGTGCGTACTTACTGACGACTAACGCGTTCGTTTAGGCTTGCACCGCTTATTATGAGATATGTTAGCGTCTGTGTTGCCTCTTCCATCCGTACTTCGATCGGTATCTACGGGTTCCAGCTCAGTGATAAGAAGCTGTTATATAATGAAGTGCGCATGTCCGATAGGTGGCTGCACGGTGTTTGCAGTTTCACGTTCATGGTCATTGAAATGGAAGCTTCTAAGGAGTTAACCCTGAATGGCGGAAACTTACCATAAAGAAATGTGGAAAAATGACGCCAAACCGTTGAAGTTCAAAAACGACGTTTCGGCTACTTCAAAAACGACGTTTCGGCTACTTGTGGTGGACATGCTGTTAGCAATGACGCGATGCCAGAACCCGCAGAAGTTGCCGATATGCATTCCTCAAATACAAAAAAAAAGTGTCATTCCTATCTACCAATTCTTTTGTTTTTGCACCACAACTGACAAATATCAGCGCCATCAATGTAGAAACCAGAACTTAGCAAATAGTGGCGTGACAACACTTGCACATGAGCCCCTCCACGGTGGTCTAGTGCCTAATGTACTCGACTGGTGACCCGCAGGTCGCGGGATCGAATCCCGGCTGCATTGTCGATGGAGGTGAAAATACTGTAGGTCCGTGTACTCAGATTTCGCTGCACGTTATAGAACCACAGGTCATCAAAGTTTTTGGAGCCCTCAACTACGGCGTCTCTCATACTAGTATGGTGGTTTGGGGACATAAAACCCCACATGTCAATGAACACTTGCGTATGAGAAATGTATTCGACACGACACGCCGGCGTCCCAAATCGTGTCGGCTTTGCACAGCCACAGTTGAAGCTTCGTACATTGATGCGCTCGTGCTCAACAAATTGGCTTGGTGCTCGTAGATTTAGCGACATCCCTCACCGTGTTACTGCAGGCATTCATGTTCTCAACGTCCAGATTGGAGCCATGGAATTCTATGGTTCCACCTTGTTTAATGGGCGATAGGCTACGTGCGTAAAACTTGCTACAATCTAACTTTCAGTGCTTGTGTCTACGCAATGACGATAGATTGATTGATATGTGGGGTTTAACGTCCCAAAACCACCATATGATTATGAGATACGCCGTAGTGGATGGCTCCAGATATTTCGACTTGTTTAACGTGCGCCCAAATCTGAGCACACGGACCTATAACATTTCCCCCTCCCTCGGAAACGCAGACGAGATTAGATCCCGCAACCTGTGGGTCAGCAGCCGAGTACCTTAGCCACTAGACCACCGCGGCGGGGCAATGACGATAGATTAACGTGTAACTGTAAGGCAGCTCGCCGTGAACGTCTTGCTTTTTGGTATTGTCGGCAAATTAAGCAGTGTTCACGTTCTTGAAGCCCCCTACGCATGACAGTTCTATACAATTCTCTCTCTCTCTCTTTTGGGCCGTAAACGATAAAGTTGGACGCAACACTATATGTAACGAATCCCTGCTGTTCGGGCTGAGCGAAGCCAGAGAGAGAACCCTGCAAACAGAAACAATGCTCTTTCTCTAAAAGTGATCGTCATGAGAGTATTGGTCTTGAGTTAATGCATTCCCCAGGATGTACTCCTTTGCTTTTAGATGAGCAAAATGCGTCACACGCTTAGGCTACACCAAATCACGTTCATAAAAGGCTCACGCCTTCGAGAAGGACGGACTGTAATCGACGCACTGGCATGTCACCTGCTGCATCAAAACGGCACGGCATATGAATTTGTTTCTTAATCGCATTGCTGACGACGGCATTCTGCTGCGGCTACAAGAAGCGTGGAGACGCGAGGGATGGATAGGTTTTCGCAGTGTCATTGGAAATAACTCGGCACTCGTAACATGGTGGCTAATACCGCACAAACTTTAAACCTACAGTGCGCGTTGGTCAGTTCTGCACTCGCCCATCGGCAGCTCGAAATATGCCAAGCTAAGAGCGACAGTACTCACCCAGCTGCCGGGGCATGTGGGAACGGGTGTAGTCGCGGCTCCCAGACATAGCGCCCTTCGTGCGTGCGCTGGTCTACGGGGATGGCGGCGTGCACGGCCGCGAAGGCGCTGGGGAACTGCAGCGGCAGGCCCGCGGCCGCCAGGCGCGGCACGTCAGACATGGGTCGCCAGCTGCTGATGCATCCTCGCGCGCACTTACACCGCCGTCAGGAACAACGAACACGGCACACCGCTGCTGCTACGAGCACCGTCGCTGAACGCCGGCGCGCGCTCGTCGGAGGGATGCGCGGCCGGTGAAGACGACGAAGCCGGGCCCGCTCTCATAACAGCGGCCCCGGCGGACAGCAGCCTCCGGCGTCGTCCATCGAGCCGTAATCCTTGTCGGGCGAGTATCCTGAAGCTATCGAAATGCAGTTGGTTGGCTGTGCGGCGTAAGAACAGTTTCGCGACGATTCCGCGCACACGGACAGAGCTCAATGCGCACGTGCACCGAACGACGGGCAGCAAATGAAGACGCTAAGGCGTTTCGGTCCGCGATGACACGGCCACGGGAACGAGAGTATGCACTCGCTTCGCTCTCGCCGGGCGGTTCTGCCTCCTCTCCGGACCCGCCTCCTCACCGATGCTTTTCCTGCTCCTCAGCAGGCGGCGTGCTCTTGCTTGGATCTTGCGGGGAGGAGGCCTCCTGTCTTTGCCGCAGGGTGAGGAGGGGTGCCGCTCCTTTCTCTCGTCGCCTGTATGACTCTATCTTCGACGGCCATGTTGGGGCCTCACCGTGGCAGCACACTTACCTGCGGCAGTCCAGTCATGGTACTTTGACGCCGCCACTTGCGAGAAATGGGCACCCTCCCCCACCTTCAGCGGCCGGCAAGACAGCCTCCACGAAATGCATTCCTCCTCCATCAGAAGCTTTGCAGTGCTGCCGTAGTTGACAGTGCGAACGCGGAACGGACAAAGCGCTCCGTCTCTGGGTTTCAGTGTTCGCGAAAGACGAAGCTCGTTATTTTCGCTTGAAAAGCGCAAGGTTGCCTTCTCGACAAAAATGCAAACCGACCTACAGTAAGGCATCGTCGAAGCACGAGGGGTTTCGCTGGAACGAGATGGTCAAATGAATAGTTGCAGGTTTTAGGAGTAGGTTGTGTTCTCATCACACTGGCGTGAATACGTCGCGACTAAAGGTTAGTGACCTTTTTAGTGCCGCCAGAGAGAGCGCGGCTCAAAGTCTTCATCGAATAGGTATAAAAACAGTGGTAGGCAACTTGAATGTTTGAGTAACTTCGGTGTGTTTTGTTGTAGTTGTTTTATGTATGCAGGGAGTTGGTTGATACCCACCCGCAACAAAGGATGAGGATGTAATTTCAATATAATTCAATCCCATTTGCGCCAACTTCCAATAAAGTGAAATGACGTGCAAGGAGGCATGCATATTTAAGGGCTTATGTGTCAACGCATGTATGCTCCTCTAACATGCCACCTGCAGTGTTCACCTCACAGGCATGTCGCGTTCTCCCCAACAAAGCCACTGTGCAGTCGTGGAAGATGTGGTAGTGGTTAGAAGGCGCCTACTTTCTGCAGATAGGTCGAGAGCACGGCACTGTTCGCGCGCAAATCCCCGTAGAAATGATTCATGCACCCCTCCGTGCCAGCATCTGCACGTCAAAATAGCATCGACCGCAACGAGAGGAGCTCACAAACTAGCACCTTGCATAGCTCTGATCGCGTTTGCGAGTGAAGACCTACAAAGTCCACTTAATTATCCCCAAACAAGCTCTGCTCTTCAGCGCAGGCGTTCCGACACATTTGGGTTGAAAGGCCGAACCCTTCGGAGACCACGTCCGGGGAACCAGGGGCGCGGAACCGTACCCAGTGGTCTCTCGCGCTTTGTTAAGAGGCAAGAAACAACTCGAAGGGAAGGAAGAAAGCAAAATATCGGCTTGGCCGCTCCCGAGGAGCGACCATCGCGGTGAGTGGCCTGGCGCGGCGGTGTAATTAAGTTTTCACGGGGTTTTCGAGAAGACCTCGCGCGGGATACCGGGGTGGAAGGAGGAGAAGGTAGAAAAGCGCGCTGGGACCTGGGCCGTCAGCCGCACGATGGATGGCCGCTCGCGCGCGCTGCCGCCGGGGCACTGTGAACACGGGCGCGCTGCCGGCCACTGCCTTTGCCCCATCGGTTGATGCGCGAGCGGGCCCGCTGCGCTGCTGTAATTGAACGCCGCGCAATCCGGCGCGGGCACGACCGAGGATCCGCGGCGGGCGGCCCTCCTTCTCGCGAGACCGGCTGCGGGGGGCACGGCCCTCGCCTCCCGCTCGGTAAAGACGAGCCGCTGCTGCTGCGAAAGCGCTCTGCTCAAGGCGAGCCTCCTGGTGGGAGAACCTTGCGACACGAGGCCGATGCCTCCAGCAACTTACGGGTGTCTGCGTTCTTGAATGTAATCGCACATACCAAGTCTTTATGGCTGGGTCGATACAAACTACCAAAAGTTTAACTCAAGTGACTGTAGAATCTTGGAAGCCGTGAACCGAAAAAAAAAAATATGTGGTTTCGTTGGACACCTCAACGTTGCCGACTCATTGTTAACCTTTACATTGTTCTTTAACTTGCTCCTAAATCGAAGCACTCAGATGGGGTGGATTACGCCCCCGTCCATGTGCGGCCACCATAACAGGAATTCGAAGCTACGACCTGGTGCTCAGCAGGGGTAACACCTTGAGCCGCAAAGCTACAATGGCGGCTACGCTGCATGGAAACCACCATGGGGACATTTAGGCTTAGGAAGAGATATGAGATCATGAGCGAAAGATCATCAGTTCTTGACCGGTATATAAAATTAAATCTTCATGCGCAATCACTCATTCACAAGATAACCTTGGAATACGTGCCATGATCAAAACTCGTTCATACTTTCCGCCACGCATAATCCACTCCCTTTATCACGCACATGTTCACAGTCTTATTGCATAAGGCTGTGAACAGTCTGGGGTAACACATATAACACAGCCTGGGGTAACACATATTTGACCCACCTCAACCAACTGCAACGCCTAAAGAATCAAGCACTTCGACTCATCACTTTCAGCCATTTCTTCACAAACGCAATGCCACTTTATCAGAATTTAAATATACATCCTCTTTATCACCTCTTTCAGCTGAAGTTATCAGTGGTGATGTATGGGCATTTTCGCGGTAATGTGCATATAGATGGCATTGTCGTGGAAAGCCTTGTAAAGAATAATATTACTAGGTTTTCTGACCTTCATAACCGCCTTCTGCCTAAAGTTCTTACAAACTACGGCAAGTTCCCTACCACATTTACGGGACTCAAGCTTCCTTACGTAATAAGATCATCAACCACAAAACACGCCTTCAAAAACCAAGTAAAGAAATATTTTTTGCAACAGTTGTCTTCATCTTAGCAACTGCTTTTTAATGTAGCGATAACAATTACTACATGTTATATTGTCCTTGCGTTTAGTATTATGACTTTCGCTTCTTTGTTCTTCAGAGTGTTCTTTTTTTACCTTGCTAAACGTATATCTATTTTCTACTTTCGATTTTTCGCACTGTTTTTTTTTCTTACTGAAGATACCGTAACAACTGAATGTTGTATATCTTGTTTTTTCTCCCGTTAACATCATGTATGGGAGCCCCCCTGACAGTTTCTAACTTCGGGGCTCCTTATGTGTATTACCAATCCGGTACGCACATTTACTTTTTATTTTATTTTATTTAAAAATACCTTACAGGCTCTATTACGGAGCATAGAGTAAGGGGGGTGCATAGGAAAGAATGCTAGTGGGTGATAGTTCTGCCACAATACAAAGCAACTACAAAGCAAAGCAACTACACAGCAACTAATAACTAATAAAAATACAAAGCAAGTAATAACATTGGAACTAATAACAGTGGTTGCACAAATGACAAAGAGGGGCTTCAAGCAACTACAAGAATTTCCTAGCCGCAAAAAAAGCACAAAGAACAAAAACAGAATTCAAGGAGGTTATACAATGCTATTGAGATAGATGTATCATTAATTGCTCGCGAAAATTTTCATGATTAGTTAAATTGACAATGACGTCGGGTAGGTCATTCCAGAGTGCTATGGCACGAGGCAAAGCCGATGAATTGAATGATTTTGTTTTTCCAAAGATGCGTGTGACGCTTCGCTGATCGTGAAGTCGTTTAGACATGCGCAATGGTGCCGTTAGTGGGAAGGATGGTGGCCTGGACGCGTGAATATATTTATGAAGCAAAGACAGGAGGGCAACTGTGCGCCGTATGTCTAGATGCTGTAATGAAAGGTCATGTTTTATTTGTGTGACGCTCGAGGGGCGACTGTAAATACGTGAAATGAACCGTGCTGCCCTGTTTTGCACAGCTTCTAGCTTGTTAATGAGATAGGCTTGGAAGGGGGACCATATGGGTGATGCAAATTCCAGCTGTGGGCGAACAAAGGTTAAGTAAGCTTGTTTGCGGACGTTATTTGGCGCGTTTCGTAGGTTTCGACGTAAGTATCCCAGTGTTCTTGATGCGTTTGCAGATATGTGGGTTACATGTACTCCCCAAGTAAGATTAGAAATGAAATGAACGCCGAGGTACTTATACGAAGACGACCGTGACACGTTGGAATTATTTATGGAGTAATCAAATTCAACAGTTAATTTTTTTCGACTAAAGGATATTACATTACATTTTGATAAATTTAAAGTCATTTGCCATGCACCACACCAATTGTTAATGAGATTAAGGTCTTTTTGGAGAGCAAGGTGGTCATCGGTACTAGTTATAGAGCGATATAGAATGCAATCGTCAGCAAAAAGCCGTATTGACGAAGAAATATTAGTTGGAAGATCGCTAATGTAGATTAGAAAAAGTAGTGGCCCCAAGACGCTACCCTGAGGCACTCCGGAGGTGACATCGGAAATTGGAGAGGAAGAGCTATTAATCAGAGTGAACTGCTTTCGAAAAGACAAAAAGTTACGGATCCACGATAAGGTTAGCGAATCTAAACGAAGTTCTGTTAATTTTGAAATCAGACGGGAATGAGGTACGCGGTCGAATGCTTTAGAAAAATCTAGGAAAATGCAGTCGGTTTGTAAATTATTATCCATATTGAAGTGAAGATCAGTAGTAAATTCCAGTAATTGGGTGTCGCAAGAAAAACCTCGCCTAAATCTATGCTGATTCTCAAAAAAGAAGTTATTGGTTTCCAAATGACAATAAATGTGCGAAGAAATGATATGCTCAAGCATCTTGCAGCAAATGCGTGTTAATGATATGGGGCGATAATTTTATGGTGAGTATCTATTGCCACTTTTAAATAAGGGAACTACTTTACCTATTTTCCAATCAGCCGGCAGTTGTCCTGTTGATAAAGATTGCGTGAACATGTGGTACAGTATTTTACTTGAGCATAATGACGTGTTTTTGAGCACCTTAGAATTAATGTTATCAATGCCTGAAGAAGTTGATAATTTAAGTTTTCCAATAAGATTCGCAATCCCTTCAGTGCTGACGGCAATC